AATCAATTGGTTTTTATATTAATGAGTAGATGTAGTATTAGAGAAATAAATGATAAATATTATTCAATTCTACTGGACTCCAAAAACAAGTAATTTGGTTTTTATTGTATAAACCATAACCATTGTCTGGAGAGCACCTGAATTTTAATTCCCCAGGGACTAAGCCCTGGAGGGCATGCGAGTAATTTGGTTTGCTTGGTGAACGATCTTCGAATTAATGCTCTGTTATGCAAATTGATTAAAATCTTGATTCTAAAGTAAGCTGAAAAGATTTAGTATTGGACGCCATCAAACATACGAAGGAAGAAAACCACAAAAGACAGCCAATTATGATTTCCTATTAAGTCCTACAGTTCTTCTGCTTATTTGTTGCCCCTCGACATCCCAGAAACCTGCAAATAACAATGTCAAATAAGTCTATTTTCAAACCCAAGTCTCATCAGCACCATCCAATCCTAATAACACAAAAAATCCCATAAAAACTATGATCAAAAGATCTGGGCTTACTGTTACTAGGAACATTCCTCGTGGGGATCGGCAGGAATGTTTGGAAGGTCCTTGACGCAAGCTTGACGAAGCTGTTGAACTCTCTGAGCAAGAATCGGAGGTTGGAACTTGGCGTCTCTGAAACAATAACACACAGCCTTCCTTATCTCAGCCGTACTACACATGGCCCTCAATTGCATACCAGCCAGACAGCATCTAGGTGAAGGCTCCTCTGATCCTCCACCCTCCAAAAACTCAAAACATGGCACCATCGCGCTCATTGCCTGGCTGCACGCAACGCAAGGTACGTCATTTCCTTCTTTAGTTACTGCTTCTGTGCTTCCACACCATACCAGAGCCATAAAAACGAAACCCCATTTTGCAGATGAAGCCATCTTCGATTCCCACACAAATCCCCTGTTCTTGAGATCATAAAACAAGCTTGGTATTTGTATAGCCATAAAAGTGATTAACTGCATCCAGAAGATCTGGTGTGTATATTCATTCATAAAGCTAAACTATATGAACATGGAATTATAATTCATAAAACCATTTCTGTCTTTTATGCTTTGGAGAAGCAAAAACTCACCATTATTACAAACAAAAGAGATAAATGCATTCATTGCAATCAATGCATGCCATTTATTATGCATCCACTTAGTATTTATGAAACATTTGCGTCCTAAACACGAACCGACTCAACAAAAAAGCAAGATTAATGGCATAGACGCCGATTCATTATTAATCCCATGGACTGAGAGAACACTCCTGTGGGGAAGTTGGGTAGCGTTGGGAGTCTTTGCAATAATCATAAACAACGAGGTTTCTGAGAACCCAACCGTGGTCTATTTTCTGGTCATCAGAGAGATGCCAAGCATCATATTGGTCCCACCAATTCTGAGTTGTGGTGGACACACATGGAGGGTAAGGTTCTTCCCATTGGCAGGCTTCAATAGTGAAGTCCTTGTAGGATGACACAAATGGAGCTAGTTTCCAATCAGTCTTCTCTAGTCCTCCTCTTGTAGCCCACTCATCTGCATTCCATATACTTGAAAATAAGTACATTGGCTTCTCTGTTGGGAAGAAATTGTTCATTTCGCCGTAGTTCTTGTACACCCTTATGGCCACTTTGTCCACGAAGAATCTGTTAAAACTGAAATGGGTGTGACTAAAAGTTTTGATTTTTAGCATGTAATTGAAAGAAAAAAGTGGTAGGTGACGAATTTACACGAGCTGGTGGTAGTTCCAGAGGATGGAGTAGGTGTGATAATCTTCAGTGGGGTCGAACCAAAGCATGTGTCTCATCTCACGTCCACCAGTTCCAGTTTTATACACATTTGTCTGAATCAAGTATGGCTCCCCTGTTCTGTTTCCCAAGAACTCAAAATCGATCTCATCTCTCTCCGGTCCTGCTCCATTCTCTGAACACATCTGCAACATCAAATCCACCCTCATGTTCTGTATCCAAAGAAAAATGCTTCACAAGATCTCATTTCTCTTCAATTTTGAAGATGATGCAGAATTCAAACACTTACGTAGAATGCTGTAACTACACCAGCAGAGTCACCACCTACCAGCTTCATCTTCAAGCTGAACCAACCAAATCTGTATCTTTGCTTTGTCTGGAAACCACATCCTATAATACATCAATTATGTATCAGAAATGTATTTAACAGAGAATGAGAAAGACTAGTTTGACGATTGTGTACCTGTGTCTTTGTCTAGGGAGAGATACCAGATCTGTCCATCTTCGGAAGTGGTGAAATGGTCTTTGGACCACATTATGTCGAAGTTGTCGTTGAAGAATGCTTTGGACTTATTAGCTGCTTCAGATGAGAAAGAAGAAGCAGCCATGAGTGCTAGAGTGAGGAGGACAACCATGGACGATGATGAGTTCAGCATCGGATTCAGAGAAAGAGAGGGACGATGGAGAAGAACAGAGAGTGGATATGTTCATTAAATGATCTGAATTTCAATTTTTATTTCACATGTTTTTGCCTTCTGACTTTTCTTTGTTTTTGGATTGAAGTTGACATTCACCTGCTTCATTAATTGCCTGGTAGGTAATTTGCCGCCACAGTAAATGAATGTTTAGACCTTGTGAACCTCACAAAAGATTTATAGGGTTTAATTTAATTTACTCTACTTCCATTCATAGATTTAATAATGTTCAATCATATATGTGTGTGTGTATTCAACACTATCTTTCTTTCCCCTTCACGTCAAAATGCTTAGTGGATGGAGAGCCGACAAGGGCATTATGGGGATCATACAATGGAACATATCTATATTTGAAATCAGAATGTGAGGAAAACAAGGAAATCCAGGCTGCAATCCAATGAAAATGTTAATGATATATTGATACGTGGGGAGCAATGGATTGAAAATGAAGGCGGAGGCTCAGGAGGAGGAAGAAGAATGGTTATTTTAGAGAGCACATTCCATGCTCATCATCATAATGATGAACATGGAATGCTCATCGCAATTTGAATCATCCAGATCGATTTTAGATGGTTTAGATTAAATTTAAATTTTTTATATATTTTAATCAACTTTTTGTTTTAATAGATATAGAATTTAAAATAAATATAATATCATAACTAACATATCTTCAAAAAAATAAATTTATAATTGAAAAAATTATATATTAAAAATTTTAAATTTAAACCATTCATATTAGATTTTGAATAGTTTAGATTGTATTACAGTAATGAGTACTAAATGAAGACCCGTTATTCCATCTCTTTTGTGAAATCTAGTATTAATGTATTATCATAAAGATTAACTATTTATTAAATAAATTCCTAAATTTTTCATCAATCCTATAAACACTGTACTGCACAGACATTATCACGTTGCTTCTCAAAATGTGGGAAAATTTCTCTTAAATGAGTTCTCATGCTGCACTATATTTTGGTTTGAAAATTTTCAGTACTATAAATTTAGGTTAATAGATGGAATTCACCCAAAAAATTATAATATATATTATTAAATACATAAAAGAATGTGTTATACATCAATTATTACACTATACTCAGAAAACCTCTACATGTGATTTCTTAAGTTTTATTCTTATTTTCTCTGTTTTTTTAAATAATAAGTATAGGGTTATTCGGAATTACAGGTCAGTTTCAAAAAGATACTCCTCCGGTCCTTATTATAAGACCCAATTTGACTTTTTATTTGGTCCTAATTATAAGACCCAATCCATTTTGTCTCTTATATTTATGCATTTTTTTCCAAGATAATCCTTCTAATAATAATAGTTTTAGCCAATATACTTAATTAGCAAGGATATTTTAGGAATGACAACACTTATTTATTATAAATAACCAACTTAACTTATTTTCTTAATCTCTTCAAATAAGTCAATTGGGTCTTATAATTAGGACCGGAGGAGTACATGTAGGCAACGATATGATTGACCAATTAGATGAGACATTTATTATATCGAGATTACCTTGGAAAATGCTCAGTTGATAAACATTCGATTCTCAACATCAGCTGAGGACAATTTGGCCGAGTGGTCTAAGGCGCCAGATTTAGGCTCTGGTCCGAAAGGGCGTGGGTTCAAATCCCACAGTTGTCACTTTAATATGATTCTAAAACATTTTTTTTAAAATTTTTCAAATGCAGTGTAAATCACTTCTAATTAACGTCTTTCGTAGGGCTCTGTTCTTGTCTTGAAAACCATATCCTCATGTTTCTTTTGTCTGCACGGTCTAGTGACAGACCCAAGCAACTCTCTAGCACACACCTTGCGTGTTTAATTTTCACATTGAATTTGATTCTTTGAAAGATTTATAAGACAAAAAAGGAGGTCTTCCACATCCATCGTAGCAGAGTAAGAATCCATGAAATGTTCATGCTGTTGCCTTCTTGCAATCCCAGGCACAGTGTGAAGACAAGTTTCTTCTGTTTTGCTCTCCTTTTTCAGTGACAAAGTGGACCCATTTCCTCCATATTTTCCCCCCTAAAGAACAGTGAATCAAAATAATAGACCTTCATTATATTCTTGTTACAGTTTTGTGGATCTACCTAGCTAGGAGCTCCCAATTAGAAGTCTGATAGGAAGGTGGAGTTTTGGATCAGCATCAACGCATTGTTCAAAATGATCCCACTGTGTGTGGTGTGTAGTTACCTCGTTTAGCCAGGTGTGGTTTTATGCTAATAACTAACGATTCAAAAGATTATTAATTATTATCGACATAAATATCTCACCCCATGTTCCCATCCACCATATTCCCAACCTCATATTTTTCTTTGTATCTTGCTCTTTTTAGGCCAGTGTTCCCCACCACTACTCCCAGGAGATCTTGGCAGTTTCTGGGGAAAAAGCAGATGCTAACTCATTAAGTATCTGAAATAATGATACCAATTGTGACTTCAAATCAAATTCCTGAACCGTTCAAATTCTATCTAAGTGACTCAAAAAGCAAGATTTTTAGTTCAGATATTCCACTGAGCTCTGCTTATAAAACCATCCCGTTACACTCTTCAATCTCACAACTGATCTCAAGCTTCCTCTTTTATATCACACGCAAATAAGCAGACTCTTTCTTCTTCTTCCTTTCATGGCAGCCATGGCCTCTGCAACCCTCACCTCCTTTCTCTCATCGAACCCTAAATCCTCCTTCACTTCCTCCTCCTTCCACGGCACACCCATTCAATCTTTTCGCTTCACACCTATCAAATCCACCACATCATCCTCCACCATCTCAATGTCCCTGACCTCACCGCCTTACGATCTTCAATCCTTCAAATTCCAACCCATCAAAGAATCCATCGTCTCTCGTGAAATGACCCGCCGGTACATGACCGACATGATCACCTACGCCGATACCGACGTCGTCATCATCGGTGCTGGCTCCGCCGGCCTCTCCTGCGCCTACGAGCTCAGCAAGAACCCATCTATCCGTGTCGCGATCCTCGAACAATCCGTCAGCCCCGGTGGCGGCGCGTGGCTCGGCGGGCAGCTCTTCTCCGCCATGGTGGTCCGCAAACCGGCCCATCTGTTCCTCGACGAGCTGGGCGTTGATTACGACGAGCAAGGGGACTACGTGGTGATAAAGCACGCCGCTGTGTTCACGTCGACCATCATGAGCAAGCTTCTAGCCCGGCCCAACGTGAAGCTGTTCAACTCAGTGGCGGCGGAGGATTTGATCGTGAAGGAAGACAGAGTGGCCGGGGTGGTGACGAACTGGGCGCTGGTGTCGATGAACCACGATACACAGTCGTGCATGGACCCGAACGTGATGGAGGCGAAGGTGGTGGTGAGCTCTTGTGGGCACGACGGGCCGTTCGGAGCCACCGGAGTGAAGAGGCTGAAGAGCATAGGGATGATCGATAGCGTTCCAGGGATGAAAGCCCTTGACATGAATGAAGCAGAAGATACGATTGTGAGGCTGACGAGAGAGGTTGTGCCCGGCATGATCGTTACTGGTATGGAAGTTGCAGAAATCGATGGAGCCCCAAGAATGGTAAGCTATCATCTTCATCCTTGCTTATATATATATATAGAGAGAGAGAGACAATATTATCAAGGTGACAATGTTTGGATGATGAATGTTGAATGAATTTGCAGGGTCCAACATTTGGGGCGATGATGATATCGGGGCAGAAGGCGGCGCATCTGGCTTTGAAGGCGTTGGGGAAGAACAATGCAATCGATGGGACTTGTGGAACAGGCACTGAACAACCTGAGCTCATTTTTGCTTCGGCTCACGCTCAAGACGACATTGTTGATACTTAATATGTGTGTCTGTATAAATTTACACACACACATGAAGGTGGAAGACAGTGAAGAAGTGGTGATGATCAGCTTAACTATATGTTTTTGTGGTTCCTTTAAAACTCAATGTTCATTACCATGTAATATCATCAGCCTTATAATAGTTTGATAGAACTCCACCTATATGTTCTTATTTATTTCATATTTAGATTAAATATGTATTTCATGTAAAAAGTTAAATCTAAAATATTTCATACTGTTAAGTTATAGATTTTAAATGACTGAAGCAAGCACTAACCAATAATTCAATTTTTAATTATATCATGAGTTTTTGAGAGAATCCCAATAAGATCTAACTGAAATACCTAAACCCAAATTAAGACATACATTTTTAACAAATTCCTAATGAGGTTATAGGGCTGCACATGGGCAGGGCTGGGCAGGGCAAGCCCCTTGCCTGATGCCCAGTCCGAAAGATGAGCGGGCTGTGTTTTGCAGCCCGTTGCCCGGCCCTGCCCAGCAGAAGCCCTAACCATTTTGGGCAGGGCAAGGGCGGGTTTTTCTGCCCAGCGTAATGACACAATGCCCTATGTCATATGTAAAAAAAAAAAAATCAATTATCATGTTCTGAGACAAATGAGAGGAAAAAAATTATCACGAATGAGTCTATCACTCATATATATATATATATATATATATATAAGGCCTATGTAGTCTTATTCTTTAGCTTTTGATTTCTTATGGGAGGTAAAAAAAATATATTTAATAATTAGAATATTTAATAATTAAGCTAAATCAGTATTTCAATTTCTTAGTTTATCCATATAGTTGGTGGATTCTTATAATCATGTGAAAGCACAAAATTTGAAAGGTGGTTTTATTTTTTTTTTTGTTTTAAAAAATTGGATGTAAGAGAAAAAGAAGAACATTTGACTTGGAGTAATTTAGCATATTGAATATTATATTTTGATATTTAGCTCTTTTATATAATTATAATTTTTATGTTCCTTTCATTTTTCTAATTTTACCTATTTTTTTTAGCTAAAATAAAAGAGATAATTGCTTGAAATAATATTATCTATATATATAATATATTTTTTCGGGCAGGGCCAAAGGGGCAGGGCAGCATACCCTGCCCGCGGCCCTACCCTGCCCGTGAATCAGCCCGGCCCGAAGATGCCCATTTTTGCTTGGGCAGCTTTTTACTGGGTTGGGCTGGGCATTTTTCTTGCGGGCTCGGGCGGGCTTATTGGGCATGCGGGCCTCATGCACACCCCTATGAGGTTATGGGGCCTAATTTAGAATTTTTAAATGTTGTCAAATGACAAAAATGGCTCCCTTTAATTAAAAATAAAAATTAATTATTTTACCCCTCCCAAGTAATCTCTCATCTCTTATAATTATTTTGCAGGAGTAAAAAACACAAGTGATTTTATAGTGTTTAAATTTTGTATGTATGACTAAAAGCTTCAAAAATATTCTAATAAAATATTTTAAATTACAACATAAATAGCCTGAAAATAAATAATTTTTATTTTTGTTGATAAATATTTATTTTAAGATTTTTCAAATATTGTAATTACAAGAAATATTTAATACTATGTTCTCATCATTTCGTTAGTTTTATTTACTTAAGCGATTCCAACCTGAAAGGTTATTTATAATAACTTAGTATTAAATATTTTCTGTAATTAAGATATTTTAAAATTTTAAAATAAATATTTACCAACAGAAAATAAAAAATATTTATTTCAAGGCTATTTATGTTGTAATTTCATATATACAAATTATAAAGTCCCAAAAAATAATCATAAGAGATGAGGGACAACTTGGAAGGATAAAATAATCAAATTTTCTTAATTAATTAGGAGCATTCTGGTTATTTAACAATATTCAAAAATTACTAATGAGGCCTCATAGCCTAATTAGAAAATCATTAAAAGTGTAGGCTTTTATTTGGATTTAGGTATTTCAGCAGGATTTTATTGAGATTCTTCTTAAGTTTTTTTAACCCGGATCAATTCCTCTCTCATCATTTTCAATCAAATTACATAAAAGTAATTACATTTAAGCGGGAAAAAAAAATACCACAGCTAATCCCATCATATAGAATAATATAACAAGACATAGTACAACTTTCCTTTTAGAATTACAATACATGATGTTAGGGAAACATACATGGTTTTATTAATATAATAAAATAGTATCTCAAATAGGATTGTATCTAATAAAATATTTGTACCCATAAAAAAATTATATCACATGGAAAAATACATACAACAACTTTTTGTGGAAAAATTAGAAAAGTTTTCACCATTATACATTCATGGCATACACAAAAATACAACCGCAAGAAACAAAAGAAGTACATAAAAATATCCCCACATCTACAAACTCTAATTTGGAAATTGTCCAAACGGGTGTTTAATAATAGGTCTGTTTAGATTAACGATTGAAAAAGCAGCTTATTATTAATTTGACTTTTGAAAAAATTAGATTGGATAAAAGATAAATTGAGTAATATGATTTATGTTGGGATCAGATTTTATAAAAGTTAGTTTGTAAAAGTAGAAGTTGTTTGAATTATGATTGAATAAGTAAGTTTAGTTTGTAAAATTACCAGAATGGGTATGACTCTTATTAAATAGTGAAAAATGATAAAAAATGAATTTACATAATATAATAAATTTAAATTATTTTAATAGGAAAAAGTGAAATTTAATGACTGAAATATATTTTAAAATTAGAAATATTATAATTTTTTTAAATATAAAGTGAAACATAATTTTGAAAAATTAAATGAAACATACAAGATCAAAACCCCCCAAAAACGTCCCCATGAAACAGAAAATGAAGATGGAAAGGATTGGGGAACAATGTAAAGTGACGAAGCAAAAGCATCTTAGAGGAGAGAGAGAGCAACGCAGAATTGGATTCTCTCCACTACTCTTCACATCCTCTTCCCTTCCACCACCCTCCTTTCTCTTCGCAACCATTGGATCAAAACTCCAATGGTCCAGATTTAATATGTTATAACATTTTATAAAAATAAATATTATGATAAAAAAATAGATAAATAAATTTAAACTGTTAAAATATAATCTGAACAGTTCATAACTACATATTGTTATTATAAACCAAATTTTTTTTAAATTTTTTATTACAATTGTAAACTGTTCAGACCAGATTTTAACAGTTTAAATTTATTTATTTATTTATTTTAATAATATTATTTTTATAAGATGTTAAATCTGGACCATTAGAATTTTGATCCAATAGTTGTGAAGAGAAAAGAAGGGTAGTGGAGGAGAAGAAGATGGGAAGGTAGTGGAGAGAATCCAAATCCAAGCAACGCACATTGGGGGGAAAAAGCAGATGGGGGTGAACAGTGATCATACTTCAGCATCGAAGGAAGAGAGACGGTCCTACCAACCCCCGTTTAGCGCAATTTGAAAAGCAACGAGTAAGATGAAAGAGTAATGAGCTTTTAGCCCATAAGTCAAATGGATTTAAAGCTTATTCAAACACAGCATAAATTGTTTAAATGTAATTAGTGTCTGTTTGGATTAGCAGTGATTTGTGTTTGGATTTTTTTTCTTATAAGTTATTTTAAGAATTGTGATTATATTGAGTTTTCATTTATTAAAATTACTTATGAATGTATAATTACTAAAAAAAGGCATGAAGTTAATATTTGAGAAGAGATTTTGGAAAGAGTGTGGGAGGGGTAGATTGGAGAAAATTTAGTTGCTGAAGATTGATTAGGATTTTTCAAACACATAAGCTACTTCTTGTTGCTTATCTTAAAAGTGCGGTAGAAAGGTAAAATCATGATTTATCGGGATTTTATAAAAATTATTCCAGCAAGACAAATATGTTTCATAATGCTCTTTTGTGCAATAAGATGCTTATAAGTAGTTTGGACTGTGAATCCAAATAGACTGAATAAGTGAAAGCACTTATAAAAAAATACTTCTATGCAAGTTAAGACAAAATTTTTTTTAAATATTTACTACGTATATCATAAAATCACTTTTACTACTACAGTTTAGTTTCGATCTAAACATGTCCTCATTATTACAAAGTCCGTGATCATTCTGAAATTAAATTTTATGAAGAAATTACATAAATATCTGTCTTAGTTATTGTCGTGATTTAAGTAATTTTATTTTTGAATTATATTGTATGTTATTTTATTTTTCAAATTTCAAATTAAAAGCAATTAGGTAATTTCATTATAAAATTAGGCCATTTTGAGATGGAACTGATATTTACATCCGAGCCACCCTCCGCCCAAATTTTTACCCGACGGAGTGTTCCGGCCTTTCACATAAGTTCAGGCAAACTTATCTCATGAAATCACTTCTAAAAAGTTGCTCGTATTTTAATAATTCTTAAAACACCGGCGAAAAAAAAAAAGGAGTAATTCTTAAAACTGAACTCCGGAAATTCCATTATTGTCCTCGTGGAAAAAGGGAATTGGTGAGCGCTACGCATCACAAGCTTACGTGGCAGAGATTGATTGGAAGTTAGAGGAGATGCTGAGGAGTGAATTTGTCAAAGTCTTTCTCCGTAGTCTTCACTTCACTCCTCTAACCCTTCCTTTCCTCTCTTTCCCTCCGGCTCTCTGTGAAACCCCCGAAATCTCAGACAGCCATGACTACCATTACCAAACCGCCATTTCTCTTGCTAGTTATCGTTCTCTTGTCCCTTATTTTCCTCACTTTCTCCTCGGAATCCGATGATGACCGAGTCAGCGAGCTTCTCACGCTTCAATCCAGATCCCAATCTGGTCTAATCCACCTCAACGACCAATCCGTCTCCCGATACCTTACCTCAGTCAAAACCCCAAGACCCTATTGGATTGTTGTCTTCTTTGACGCCTCTCAGCTCCACGAGAAACCAGAGCTTCGCCTCAAGGAGCTTCGCACTGAATTCGCACTTGTCGCTTCCTCCTACGTCGCCAACAACGATGACCCGTCGTCCCCATCTCACGGGAAATTGTTCTTCTGCGACATTGAATTCAAAGAATCGCAATCTAGTTTCGCTCTTTTCGGCGTCAATGCCTTGCCGCACATCCGCCTTATTGCGCCTCATCAAGGCCCCAAAGAGTCAGATCAGATGGACCAGGGAGATTTCTCCAGGCTCGCTGAGTCCATGGCTGAATTTCTGGAGTCGAAGACGAAGCTCGTTGTAGGTCCGATCCATCGGCCTCCGTTATTCTCGAGGGGCCAATTGATTTTGTTTGCACTCGGTTTTTTGATTACTTTACCTTTTATAGTGAAAAGAATCCTGGCTGGTCAGACTATGCTCCATGACCGGAAGTTCTGGTTATTGGGTGCTGTGTTCGTTTACTTCTTCAGCGTTTCTGGTGCGATGCATAACATCATAAGGAAGATGCCGATGTTTTTGTTGGACCGTAATGATCCTTCGAAGCTCGTATTCTTTTATCAGGGGTCTGGAATGCAGCTTGGAGCAGAGGGTTTTGCCGTGGGATTCTTGTACACCATTGTGGGTTTGCTAATGGCTTTTATGTCACATGTTCTTGTGAAGGTGAAGAATGTTAATGTGCAAAGGGTGTTTATGATTTTTGCACTGTTAGTTTCTTTCTGGGCTGTGAAGAAAGTTGTCTACTTGGATAACTGGAAGACAGGTTATGGCATCCACGGGTATTGGCCTTCAAGTTGGTAATCATAGTAGGGAGGTTTTAATTTCTTCTGTTTCCTTTGAAGTTGATTACAAACTTCAGCATGCTTAATTATAATTTGGTCAGAAGGCATATGTTACTTTTACTCTTTTGAGGAGCAAATTTTACCAGAAGTATTAGAAAATTCCACCTCTGCATATGTTCTGATTATAATCTGAATCCATTTGGTATGGATTTGTTTGTGATAGATAGCATTTTCATCTTATTTGATGTTTTAATTTGTTAAACTGATATAGCTGTAAGTTTAGGACGGTCATAATCTGAATCCATTTTCATTTCTACCCTCCATCGTAGTATGAAATCTAGATAACTAATTTGTAAATATTAAAAAAATTAGTTGAATTAGTTATTTGTAACAAATGTGAGTTGTTTTCTCTGGAATACTTTTTCTAATCATGTCATGTGCGTTGTAACTATGGCTTGACGGGAACTCTTACTGTGTGCAATGAATAGGAATAGGATGGACAAAAAATTATAAATTTGGAAGACAAAATGTATTGAGATTTTATCAAAATGAACTTTTTGTCTAGTTCTTATATCTAATACTAGAGGTAGTGTTAATCTTTAGGAATTTAAGGTATCTCTACAAATTAAACTGAAAGCTACATGGACTTTAGTTGATAGACAGGCTTTGCATAAAATTAGGCTTGCTATTTATTTTGGCAATGAGCTTCTCTCAGCCACTGGGAAGAAAGAAACTGGGAGTTTACTGGTTCTACTGATGATCAACGCGGGGATAGAATGTGGTTTTAACTTTCATCATTTTCTGAAGGGTTTATATAAACTGAGAGGGCAGGCCTTTCAATCTATGTGTGACTTAATGCATCAACACCAAAGTGGCTGGAACAAATGAAGTTTATAACTGGGTAGACCCAAAATTTTAAGAACAAATGTGTTGAAACTTCGAGATTATAAGACTGAGAAGCTCTGAGAAACAAAACTACCAAAAAACTTTTAGGCAGGGAAATCCCAATGAAATTTAGCAGAGAAATAAATAGGCTAACTGTAAATGAAGATTAAGTAAATGCAAAGTCGCCTTTTACAGCAGCTTTTGAGGAACATGTTGTATCAAGATTTCCACTAGCTTAGCTGATGGCAATTACAGGAGAAAAAACCATGTGACTTTTCGTTTGACTTGATTCAATTCAATCCTGAAAGTCTGGAGCTAAGAGCAGGCTTAAAGGCTAAGGCCTCTCGCTTTCCGTGTGCTGAATACTGAATGGGAATGGGATTTGTTTACCTGTAAGTGTTTAGCTTCTGTGTGTGTGATGGAGCAAATAAAGAATATAGTATAAAAAAGTCCAAATATTAAGCCTGTCAATTTAGTCACTCACACATCTTCAAACTAGTTAAATACGACATGTATATGATTTCATGAAGCTCAGAGAGAATTCAGAAATTACTAAATCATGAATTTACTTCCTTATTTTTTTAATTCCTTGAAGTTCGATTATTTTATGGCCTTTCTCCTGCAAGTTTAATGCTGATATGATGTTGAATTACTCTATTGATGAGCATATGTCATTAGCTCCTGACCAATAGTACACTGTGAAGCTTTTGAGCAGCATACTCGTCACTTTACCAGTATGCCACTATCACCTCCTTGTGTTTCATAGAGGCATTCTTTTGCTTCTGGAAGAATAGTCGTCCAAACAAAAATATGTTACATTACTTCTATGCGTTGGAAGATCCCAACCAATGCCTGAAATATGCATTTGAATGGCACTTCACTCACTCACACATATTCAGAATAGTTAAATACGACATGCATATGATTTCATGAAGCTCATTACTAAATCATCAATCTTTCTAGATTATTTTATGGCCTTTCTCCTGCAAGTTTAATGCTAATATTATATTGAATTAATCTATTGAGGAGTAGACGTCATTAGCCCGTGAACAATAATACGCTGTGAAGCTGTTGGGCAGCATACTCGCCACTTTACCAGTATGCCACTATCACCTCCTTGCGTTTCAAAGTGGCATTCTTTTGCTTCTGGGAGAATAGTAGTCCAGACAAAATTATGTTACGTTGCTTTTATGCGTTGAAGGACCCCAACCAATGCCAGAAATATGCATTTGAATGGCACACTCTTCAGTCTCTTTATCCTTAAATTACTAAAACGTATCACTCGGTTCAGCTCCAGATTGATGCAGAATGAATCTTGTACAAATTTTTCCTAGCCCTCCAAGCACTAAGCAACTTTTATTCGCAAGGCCGCAAACCCAGGAATTGCAGGCAGGCTGTGTTACAAATTAGGCCAGAGATAATCCCTTTGCTCCTAATTAATAAGTATAAATCAAAATTTTGGAGCGTATGGTATTCTTATATGTAAGACAATTTATAAACGTTTTGGAGTAATTAAAATATTCTCTTAATTAAAATGCTAAAGAATTGGCACACCACGGTGCTTCGTTGAGGGCCTTTAAGTTTTTATGAGCTTAGGCTTCAATGGGCCCGCTTGCTTTTAGTAATGAGCACGAGTAATGTGCACAGTACGAATGGATAATATGGTATGTAATAGATACGGGTGGTGGAGTTTAATATAAGAGTTAATTAATTAATTTAAATAAATTAAGAAGATTCAAGAGATTATTTAATTCCAACAAGTGACATGATCTTTTAAAATATTTATATGTCAATTTATAAATTGAATACATTAGTTTGGACAAAATGATAAATATAAAAAATAAAATGAGTTAAGTTGCATTTAGAATCATAACTAATTCTCTAATTAATTCTTCGGACTGGAGGAATATAAATGGATTACATCTAAATTACCCCTAACTTTACCATGTTTATTTATTAGGAACTCAATGTCCCTTGGATCACGATGCGAGTTTATATTTTGAGTTAAAAAAAAAAAAACACAGCAAAAGATGAACCCATTTGGACATCAGGTGTTCATTAAAAAAAAAAAGAAGAAGAAGAAGAAAAAGGAGAAGAAAGCATGATTTTTTTTTCTAAATACATGTATTTTCCTATTGGATGCAATCTTATTTGAAATACTGTTAGACACTAAATATGGTCACCTCCTCTTCTTCTTGAGGATTCAAATTTTGATTGGTCATATCGCATGATTTATGAAATGAAACTGTAGGCACAATACGTTTGTTTTGGTTCTTATATCTTGGGTCAACCGATCAGCTTTGACTTTTTTGTTTTCTAATTCACACACAAAAGAAGCTATTTCATCCTCAACCGCTCTTTTTAATGTTAAGTAGCATAAATTCGACCCTCATCCAAACATGATCACATCAAATCACACTAATTATACTACTGTCATAAATTATCTTAGTTTCCTTCTCTACGTTGTGAAAATATTTATGTTATATATATAAATAAATAAATATGGCTCTGTTTCATTGTAAGAAACAACTGGAACAAAAACGTGCCTCCAACCAATTTTATGAGAAATGCCAACAAAGCAAAGGAATATAAATTCAATGAAGAGGCATCTGATTATGATTGCTGCAAATCAATTTTTTTTTTTTTAATCAGAAGAACAAGAAGATTCATGCTGACAATTGCACTTCAATGTCAACAAATATTATATCTTAATAATTATTTGGCTTCACAAACTTAATTTAAAATGTATAATCATAATCAATGAATGATCTTTGGTCTGCTTTCAATGGTCTCATCTGAATTAATTCTGTGGCTCTTGGCCATTCCTTTTGGATTTTTTTTAGTTATCCCTTGTACTCTATTATTAAATAATGGTAACAAACTTCAAGCTTGCACCAGCTAAGCTCGGTTTTAAAATATTTAGGACTTTAACATACAGTTCCTTGTTCACTTAGGGAAAAAACAAGACACAAGTGTGTGAAGCTTGTAATTAATTAAAGTTCTGATAATAAAGAACTAAGGATCTATATTTGTGATCAGAATTTATGAGTGGCAGAAGCATTGAAGAGACTTACCAGAGAAGTGAATATCTATCTGCAGCTTAGAATTTATGGGTTAGCAGCATAAAGGTGGTCACTTTTCCCTGTCCAAAAATTATATCGGTTATATTTCAAAAAAAAAATCATACATATTAAAAAAGATTAAAAAAGTTTGAATAACTCATTAATTGCAGCAGCAAAAGTCACATATCCTTAAAATTATGGGGAAAAAAAGGTAATGTAACAATAGCAAGAGTAACATAACATACCTTCTAGATTAATAATTTTTTCCCTATGTTTGCATAAGGAAAACATGATTAATGCGTGAAACAACAACTAAACATTACTTATATTTTAAATTAGCATCCGTTTTTGAAACATGACTCATATTATGGATTAAAAAAGTTTATAACTCCATATAAATTCGTTTATTGCATAGAGTTTGAGGAATAAATTTTATTTCTAATACTCCTCCGATCCTTAATATAGGACCCAATTTTTGAGTTGGTTTTGGTCCTAAATATAAGACCCATTTTTTATATTTATCAGTTTTCTCTAAATTACCCCTATGGATACTTCCTCAACTATAATCAAGTAGAAGAGGGAGAGGGATATTAAGAAAGATGATTATGGTATTTTAGGAAAAATGTGTCACTTTTCTTATAATTAACTAATTTACCTAACTTCCTTAATCAAATCAAATTAGTTAAATGGGTCTTATATTAAGAACCGGAGGAGTATATGAATAATATTCTAAAATATTTTTGTGCTTTTTTAAGTGTGGGGGGATAGTGGCAACCTAGACAAGGAAACAGTGATAGCATCCAAGGATGACATTAATGTAGGGTTGATGCTGATACATCTAACCATGAATATGAATCCAATCAAATATTGTTGTTGAATTGTCTGAGCGGCAAAAAATAAATATAATGCTTTGCCCTTCCTAAAAAGTCTATATTCTTTTATAACTGAATATAAATACTCGTATAATTTTTCTCTGAAATTTTTGTTCAATGAAATCAATCATCAAAGAACATATTTAACTAATGAATGTGTTTTTTTTTGGTTGTATTTATGAGGTTATAATAATTTTTTTTAAATATTTTTCTCTCAAGGTTTTTTTTTTTAAAACTATAAGTACTAGTTTTGTTATTTAAAAATATTTCATCCTATTAACATTAATATTTATACAGGGAAAGAATTCATAATAGGATACACTATGTACAAGCTATGAAGAATATAATTTATTTTTTTGAATTCTGTTAAAAAATTACTAAATTATTTTCATCATCGTGTTAACAAGCTATGAAGTTGTGAATGTATGTCACAAAAATAAAATAAAACATTATTTTTTACTATTCCAAAATATATTTGACGTGACTTAGGCAACATACAAAATATTAATTTGAGTTACCTCTTATATACTATCTCCAGTTCTTAGTATAAGAACTAGTTTAACTTTCAATTTAGTCTTAAATATAAAATCTTAATTTACTTTGTCTCTTATATTTATTTATTTTTTTAAAGTAGTCATTGTAGTAGTACACGTTAAAAATTTCATCATATGGTACATCTAACTAATATACATGATTAACAAGGATATTTTAGGGGAGACAATACTTGTTTATCACAAAACAACTAACTTAATTAATTTTTTTAATCTACTCAAATTAATTAACTAGATCTTATATTAAAGACCGGAGGTAGTATTTTATAACATAGTAATAGATTTTGTTTAAAGTATTAATTTTTTCTCCTAATGTTCTTAACTGATTAACCAAATTTCTATTACTACTATAGTTTGGTAAAGATAATTTTATTATTTTATAAAAAATAATTAATTTAACTAATTTTTTTAATTTAAATAGAAATTGAAACTTAACGAAAACGGGAACAGAGAACAATATTAAAAGATACTCCTCCGGTCCTTAATATAAGACCCATTTAACTAATTTGATTAGATTAAGGAAGTTAGGTAAGTTGGTTAATTATAAGAAAAGTGACACATTTTTCCTAAAACACCATAATCATCTTTCTTAATACCCTATCTCCCTCTTCTATTTGATTATGGTTGAGGGAGTATCTATAGGGGTAATTTAGAGAATATTGATAAATATGAGAAATGGGTCTTATATTTAGAACCAAAACCAACTCAACAATTAGATTCTATATTAAGTAGCGGAGGAGTAACATAAAGCTGTTGAGAATTATTAAACTCCGAACACAACCCAAAATACAGCCTATGTGTCCCTGAATTTATTGACTCTGTCCGCTATTCCAGAGGTCTACACCATTTCCTTAGATGGCCATTATATGAGAGAAACAGCCTAATAAGCCTATGACATGCGAACTTTACTCGCCCCAACAACCCAACATGACATTAGAGGCACCTCTTCGTAAAACTAACTCTCTTCTTTCAAGCCATTGATATTTATTCATCCCTCCCTCCCGATTCTCTCTGCTTCTTTTTTCAAGTTTCATGGATACCCACCTTCTGTTTCTCTTTTCTTTCAAACCCTCTCTCCTTTCCTTCCTGCTTCATTAATAAAAATCTCATATTTTCATAAAACCGATTCGTTCCTGCCTTCGTTCTTCCTTTATTCTGATATACTCGCCTTCCTCTTCATAGTTTCGGTTGGATTTTTATGCCACGAGTTCAGCATAAGACTCAGGCTTTGCATGTGCCAGCATTTGCCTTACAAGTTTGTTTCAGAATGATGATGAATGGAGCCCAGAAACAATGGTCTCTGGAGAAGTCCCTTCCTCTTTAAGCTTTTTCTCGCAACATTGTTATTATCCTCTTCCTGCATTGGTATGTTATTGCCCCAAAATCTCTTACCTACATTTTCAGAATATTGTCGTTTGAAACTGAAACGTTTACTGCGCAATGATTCCGCAGCAATTAGTCATTGAAAGGGAGTAGATGTTCCTGAATCACAGACAATGAATTCTTAGCCGAAAATGTGTCTGTCTTCCTTGCAGGCAAAAGCATTATCTGTTGAGAAACTTTTGCTTTCTTCTGCTTCTTCCCATTTCAGAGCTTGCTATTTCCACCATGTCAATCAAGATGAAAGGGATCTATAAAAGTCTCAAATACATTACCAAAATCTTTGGTAATCTCTCTAAACTTTATAAAAGTCTTGGTTACTGTTTGAATTTCTTAAGAAAACTTGAGATTGTCCACCTCAAAATTGAGAAAGATGTCTGAGATTCAATCCCATCTGAATGATGTATCATACATACATTGTGTTTTTCTGTTTCTGAAATCAGCAAAACCAATAACTTTTTTAATAAATAGAGAGGATTTCAAATTCCAAAACTCCTTTCTCTTTCAGTCTTGAACTTGATTGAGCTGTGGAATATTGTTCTTGATGTTGTAGTTGTGAAGGAGCGCGAAATTGAAATTGGTCACCCCACAGACGTTAAGCATGTGGCTCACATCGGATGGGATGGCCCCTCAGGGAGTGGACCCACTTGGGTAAGGAGGAGCTATTAGGAATATGATTTCTTTCTTCTGTGCACTTTTTTGAATTTCTTCGTTTGAAATCATTTTTCCCTAGTATTAGAATGTTTCATCATTTTGTCTGTCCCTTTGTTGTTTTTTTTTTAATGCAGATGTCTGAGTTTAAAACAGCTCCTGATTTCTCAACATCGCTCGGTAATTTGGATGATCGAAGAGATCCCAATCCTTTATCTACCAGCATCATGCCTCCTCGAGGTATCCTATAATAACTTCTTGTTGACCAAATGTTTTTGCTTTCCAAAAACTTTTGTTTTGATCCATTTAGTACATAGAATGAAACGAAATAAAAAAAAAAATTCAGAAAAGTTAATTTTGCATGAGTATTGTAGCCTCCAAGTTTGGTACAATTTTCAGTTTAATCCCTATGGTTCCTCTGTCCCGTGAAACCCTTGCAAAGTGGCCAAATATTTGTCATATAAATAAAGCAGAGATAGATCATAGAGTGCAAAGTGAGAACAAATATTGTGCAGGGCATGTGATCACACCAAGATTAAGTAATTAATTTATAATCTTTAACACCAGCTTTGAACCCAACACTTGCTTTAGTCTCTGTTTGTGGTGACATAAATCCCTCCCTACAACTTATGAATTAAGAATTCTCGCAACAACAAGACAAACGTTTGAAAAGTGTGGTGCCATTGAATAATAATGACCTTTGTTCATGTGATACAGTGCAGTCTCCCAAATCTGAATAGTACAAAGAAAGGGCGTATCACAGGTCATATAGTAGAAGGGGGAAATATAATTGATAAATATCTGATTCTTTTTCTCCATAGTAAGGAGTGAACTTGGCTGTTCTTTCACGTGACAAATAATTTCTCAATGAGGGGAATCTACTGCCTCCCTTGACTTGACTTTACTGATAAAAATGGCATCTAGTGGGGTCCACGTCAAAAATTTTATTTTGGTTTATGTGATATGTCAAACCTTACATCGACTCTATGCTTTTCCATGTGATAAGCTTCCTCAAAGATGACCAATAAAGACCTATAAAAACAAAAGTATCACCTAATTCTTGTAAGATTTGCTTCTTCTGAGTCATCATCTGTGTGAAAGATGTTAGCAGGACAATCGATATCGTATCTGAAATCTGTCTGTCTTCCAAAGTTGTCTGAAATCATGCGTCAACAGCTAATTTGTGGCTGTCTAGTACATGAGTTGTTATCGTCCTCATCTAACCATGTAAAAGGCTGCAAATCACTGCCTTTGGTTGGTGAAGAATCAGATTATTCTGCATCTGCTACATTTAAACGATCTGGATTTACTGGAACCAAATGTTTCAAGAGCCATAGTTAAGTATGTATGCTTTGGGAAGTTATGTTTCAAAATGCCTAAGCATGTAAAGTTGTGCTTTTTCACACGATTCAGCGTTCCTGATTTTTGAAAAAAAAAAAAAAGAAAATTATTAAAAAAAAGAAAAAAACGAGGCATGACCTACTCTTCCTCTCTTTAAGAGTAGAGTATCCTGTTCCCTGTTGATCCTTCTTACATATGAATTAGAACAGAAGAATTCCATCCTATACAACTGTAAAATTATTTCTTTAAGGTGACTCGCCACACGGCACCTGATAACTGTTCACTGTGACTTACCCTGCACGGATCCCTCTATTATGATTGTCATGAATTTGGGCAGAAGGATTTATTTCATTCCCATGGTTGTATTTCTCTACAGATCCACGGTGAGAAGAATGATTGGGAAGCAATTTTCTGTTTTTCAATCTCATTCCATTGCATTGTCTGTTACTATCTCAGATAATATACTTCACATTTTTTCTTTTGAGCTGCTTTATCTCACTAATATCTTCTTGATCGCTAAATGATGTACCATTCATTACATGATCCCTTGAAGCAGATATGGCAGATTCAAGCCAATCATCATCAAGCAATTTCAAGGACACTCAATCTCATGAACATCCTCGTGTTCCTAAAAAGCACAAGCGGAAAAAGGCCAAGTTGGGTTCTGCTAAGTCTTCTCTAACTTCATCTTCCTCCTCCTCAAAGCATTTAAGAACTGCAAAGCCGACAACAAATACATACAACGAGATGGAAGCACCACCACCGGTTGTACAAGTCTAGCCAGGATGGAGATTCATCACGTGAACGGCAAAATCCTGGCCCTTGTTCATGCAAGTTACAAATCAGGGGGCTGCGAAATAATTCTTCCATGAACTTCTGTAAATCCTTGTCCATTGAAAGAGGGAAAACCAAAAAGAATGGTAAAGAAGAATGCTTTGTTGATCTAGGGTAACTGGAATGTGAGAGTTTATTCTTGTACTGTATTGATGGTAAAGTTTTGCAGATTAAAGGACAGAAGTAAGAACTAAGAGATGCTCATGTAACAAAATCAGTTTCCTTGTATTTCATGTGATATAAGCGGTAGAGAAGTACTTATGAGTTATGAGATTCAAATGGGGTCCGCTTGGAAAGCTAAATATCTTCCTTCTGATATATTGATACCTGCAAAGCTGCAATCTGCACCCAGCTAGTTCTCTGATCCATGGTGTTTTCTTTGTAGGATGAAATTTGTGAATCAAGTTTCTATGGTATTTATATGTGAACATTTGTTGTATGTGTGATGTGTATGAATTTGGAATGAATTCCTACAAACTGTAGCTTAAATTAATTACTAACTCTGGGTCTATTTATATGAAACAAGTTATAATGAGAGCATTCTTTCCTTGCACAATTTATTAATCTGAACGGAACATATAATTTGCAGGAAAATTGTACTATTTCTGCCCATTAATATGCTATTGAGTGGCAGTTATGCTTCCAATCCAATTTTCCCTACTCTCAGTTTTTTAAAACTTTCGTGCCAAATATGGAATCTTAATTAATATATGATAAATTAACAGGTAACATAGAAATTTTTTTTTGCTACAGAACATAGAAATTATTTTACCTGAACCGTTCCACCTATTCAACCTTCACCTAAAATAGATGAGATTTAGAAATGTTCCTCTTTAGTTTATTTGGTTTGTCATGGCTTAGTCTTTTCAACCTACCCGGTTGATAATATAAATTAGGAATATAAGCATAGCTAATATTTCCTTTGTGCCTTTTTATAAGATAAAATTACCTAAATTACACTTACCAATAAAATAATTTTTACTAATTTATGTCTTAAGAATTTTTTCCCCATCTTCCATTTTGCCTTGGATCAATATTTATGATTGTCTCAACTTTATTCCAAGATAGGCCAGGTCTTTTTATCCATTGATTAGGGGTAGTTCATGAAAAAAATTATAAATTACTTCTAAAAGGTTGTAAACTGCTATATTACACATAACAACACTGCACTTTCTAAAATATTGTCTCATAATTAGGAATGAAGGGAGTATGACCTTATGTATGTTATAATATGAGAAATAGAACAATTTGTTCAACTCAATTAAAATTTTAGACAATAATTTAACACTATTCCTATTTAAAAGAAAAAGAAAAACCTAAACAATCATTAGATAAGATATTTCTAAGATGAGTTTGAAGGTTAAATTTGGTCAAAACTAAGCAAAATGCCTTAGTCATCATCTACTTTGTGTGATAAATTTGCTCAAAAGAGGGGAAAATTGTAGGGCTTCTTCATCTTACAGGAACAGAGCCACAAAAGTAGGTGCAAAAACAAGAAGAGGACATTTCTCGATTTGTGCGTGTCATCCTCGTGGTATAACAATTGCAAAATCAGTGCTTAGTGCGATACCACTTTATCCTATGCAAGTGGCCATGCTACCAAAAAAGATTTGCTATGAAGTGGAAAGACTGCAGCGCGATTTTATCTGGAGGCAGAAAAGATCTCATGCTATAGGATGGGATCGAATCACCAGGCCGAAAAAGTATGGTGGATTGGGTTTCAAAAAAATTACTTCCTTAAATAGAGCTTGCGGAGCCAAAATAGCTTGGACTCTGATTAAAGAGGAGAAAGGTCTCTGGGCTGAAATCTTAACTCAAAAATATATGGTGAAAAATGAGGAAAACTTGTTGGAGGCGCATACTGGAGATTCTAATCTTTGGCATTTTATCAGTAATCAGAGAGACATCCTGGACAAAAGGACTAAGTGGCAGATTCGAAACGGCAGATATGTAAATTTTTTCAATGACTACTGGCTTTTCAATGATAAGAGGATAAAAGATCTTTGTATTAGACCGCTGTCTATTGAGGAAGAGGAAAGTGTAGTTGCAGATTGGGTAGAGTATGGATCCTGGACCTTACACAGCTTGAAAGGAATTGTGAATCCAACTGCCATCCAGGCTCTTATGGGTGTTTTACCACCAATGGACCTTGCTGGTGAGGATATTATGTTTTGGAACGCTTCTCCTGATGGTAATTTTACTCTGAAAAGTGCTTATTTTTTGATAGAAGAAAATCCTCCTGAATATTATAACACCCTCTTTAAAACCATTTGGAAATGGCGGGGTGCTGAGAGGATCAGAGTCTTTTTGTGGCGTATGTTCCATGGCAGATTACCTACAAATGATTGGAGGAGTCAATGGTCTGCCGATTCTCCTACTTGTTCTTGTTGCAATTCTAGCTGTGAGGATATTCTCCATGTTGTGAGAGATTGCTTTTATGCTAAACGGGTGTGGTTGAGTCTTATTTCCTCAAAATTTACGACCCAGGTTTTTAATACTAATCTTCGGGACCGGATGAGGATGAATTTGCAACAGGATTTGGGCTTCAATGCAAAAGGAGACTGGGATTTAATATGGGCAGTTGCGGTCTGGAGACTTAGGCTTTGGAGGAATAGATCCTTGTTTGAGACTAACTTTGAAAAGCCTCAGAATCCAGCGAAAATCATCTTACGGACTTGGAAGAACTACGTTCGCAAAGAGCAGGAAACTTCATTTCCCAAGGATAGAGATGATCATAGCAGAGACACCTATGCTACGGGACACCCCCACCTCATGATTGGCTCCTATTGAATGTTGATGGGGCTAAGTCTAATGCCTCCAATACAGCAGGTTTTGGAGGTTGGTTAAGGAATTTCAAAGGAGAATGGATTGCTGGATTTTGCCGTCAGATAGGTACATGCTCTGTCTTGGAAGCTGAACAATGGGCTATCTTCAAAGGATTGAATTTCGCTTGGGAATACAGTGCTAGAAAATTAATTATTCAATCAGATCCTAAACTACTGATTGACATGCTGAATTCTAATGTGGATTCATCTAGTTGGAGTCTATTAGTCTTCAACATACAGAGGATGCTGCAGCGTCCTTGGGAAGTTAAGTTACAGTATATCACCAGAAAGTGCAACAACATAGCAGATGCACTCGCGAAAAGAGGAATATCTGAATCCTCGGTTTTCCACACGTGCCCTCCTTATTTGAAGACTCTGATTGAGCGTGACCAACTGGGATCCTTTCCCCCTTGTTATTTATTTTCTGTCTAGGCATTAGCCTTCTCTTTGTACCCAAAAAAAAAAAAAAAAAAACAAGAAGAGGACAAATCCCAATGCCTGCAGCCGTCCTGTTCATCCATAGTTTTCATCTTCATTTACAAATTAAATATCACAACCAAATTTCTCATTATAATCTAAATAACTAAACCTCTCAATGCCATAGAAAATCCAAATCTTTTACCAGTGCCTGCAACTACAATAACAACTACAGTTTCGCCAAAATATTCGTAGGATCCTCCAAACTTCGGCATCATCGTCATCACCACCACCACCCATATATAATTTCATACTTCCCTTGAATTTTCCATAACCCATTTCTGAAAATCACAATGGCTCGTGTATTACGGTGTTCCAGACGCCAAAAAATATGTTGTGGGGTGACAGCTATTGTTATTATTCTTCTTGTGGTGACTTTGGTCGTCTTGTTCCTCACAGTTTTCAAGCCTAAAGAACCTATTATCATCATACAACCAGTGAAGCTTGAAAGGTTGGATTTTGTAGCGTCCCCTGATTTAAAATTAGAACTGAATGTGACATTAGGCGTAGTGGCCACAGTGAAGAATCGAAACCATGGAAGTTTTACTTACCAGGACAGTACAGCTACTGTTAGCTATAGAGGAAGTTTGGTGGGAGAAGCTCCAATCAATGGTGACACAGTACCAGATCATGGAGAGCTTAATGTGAGCACAAGTTTGGCCGTTCAGGCAGATGAATTGTTGAAGAATGGGAATTTTCTTAATGATTATTTTAATAAAGGGGTTTTGAATTTTACATCAGCAAACACTTTACAAGGTAAAGTTAAGATCTTGAAGATCATCAGGAAGAAAGCCACAAGTTTAAGCACCTGTTATATCTCTGTGTTTGTCAAGACCAACACTATTAACTCTACCTGTCAAAATAAACTGGTATTTTGACTTTACCGTTGAGCAATTTTTTTTTATATATTTAGCTGAGCACAATTCATGACGTTGCTAACTTATAATCAAATTCCTGTTACTTAATTCATGGAAATTATTGAAGTTTCTTGTGTATTCTTTTGCTTTCTGAATTTGCAACCAATTTATCTTAAGTAGCTTTATTAAGAAGAAACTTGCTATATGTTGTCACACCTTTGTTAACCTCATTTTATGGTTATCATATTTAGTCACTTAAGCCTTGTTTTTTTTCCCTCTCATTATGGCGTCCAATTCTTTTTGAGCAATAAAACTTAGGCTTCAAAAAGATCAATTTAATGACACTTAAGTCTCAAAAAATGTTGCTAGAGAAAGAGTTGTAAATATGGTAGTTTTTATTTCACATTATAAGACATTTAATTCTCATAGTATTTGCAACTCATTTTCTCATATTTGGGATTGCCACTCTCTCTAATTTTTCTTAATTAGTAAAGCTCTTGATATTCATTATTCCCCACTTTTATATAATGTTATTAGCATTCTTTCTTAACCAACTTTATACACTCAGACAGTTGAGCCTTTGCTGTTAAAGATGAACTTTCTTTTGTTAAAGAACAATGAAGGTATAACTTTTTATAATTTAAATAGGTGAGGCCTCACTTGAAGTTTGAAAAACAAGTTATAACATTCATAATTTTCAACCCATGTAACATTTCATGTATATTATATTTATATTGATAAGAGTGACATTAATACTATTGATATTTGAATTAAAAAATACAGCTGATATTAAACATTGCCAATGACAAAAACGATGACATTTTTTTTTCTTCCCTTTTTTGTGGAATGAGGGTCCGACATTGATTATTTATAGATGGCATCTTCAATATGGCCTTGTTTTTAAACCAAGCCCAATAATAGTTATGTGCAGATGGCATGTTTTGTTGGGCTAACTTGAAGAAGCGTGGCTAAATGAACGAGAGTAATGTATCCAAAGGCCACCTCATTCAATTTTTTTCAAGCTCGATATAGATATCCTTATATTAAAAATAATTCTATTTAAGGTATTATTAAGTACTAAACATAAGCACTTTCCCAATAAGAATTTGAATATTGATTCGCCCCTAGTTCAATTTGCAGCTGAGAGAGAAAATCCAAACGCATTTAAGCTGATAATATTATAATTTGATGACATGCAAGCTCGAGGTAATAAATTCAGTCTCTCTTGTAATCCTAGGCAGCTAGTGCTTACTCCTTTAATGAAAAATAAAATATTAAAGGTTCGCTAGTAGTTTGGAGTTGGCTTCTCTTAAATTTCTTTTTCCTCTACTTTTTTCACTATTCATCTCAACCATTAAATCAAATTTTGCAATAAGTTTTTAGCAGTTTAAATTTAATTATTTACTCTTTTATTCTATATTTCAATAATAATTTTGCAACATATTAAATCTGAACTAGTTAAAATTGATCTATTAGTTGAGATGAGTGATGAATGGAAAATAGGGAAAACATGATGAAAAAACAGCCTCCAAGGGTTTTGGATAACGCCGGGAAAACAGGCCAAGCCTGTTGAGCTGGCTCGTTTAAAGTGAGGGTTGGGCTTGCAATTTGGGATCTTGGACTTAAAAGGGCCAACCTTGTAGGGTTGCAAAATAAAAAAGCCAGCTTGTTTAAGCCCATAAACAGTAACTTCTTTTTTTTAAAAAAAATTTATCATAGGGGTTCAGGATGGCACCATGGCAGGACTTAAACTTAAAGAAACAAAAAACCCTAGCTTTGGCCTTTAGTTTTGCCTCTCACTCACTCTTAATCCTCCATGGTCGTCGGTCTTCACTCTCACTCTCAATCTCAATCCTCCATGGTCTTCACTCTTCAATTCTGCCTCTCACTCTCAAGTCTCAACTCATAGAGTCACAGTTCAATCTCTAAATCTCCTAAGTGGCTGAGTTCCACCGTTGTGTCACTGTTAGCCAGTAGTCAAGCAGAAGCAATCACCATCGTAGCCTCTTCGTCTTTGATCTCACCTTAGTCGCCTACCCAGCTCGTATTTTGCAGTTCGGTAGTAGTTGCTCAGCCTCTCTTTGTTAGTGACGGCATTGAGCTTCTCGTCTAGTGAGTTTGTTGGCTCCCTCTATCCCCTGGCCTATTGATCTCGCCTTGCCCTGTTGCCCACGACCATGAGTTTCATCTTTGCTTCCCCTGCCTATGTCTATGAAACTACGACAGTTGATTTGAGGCTTCACTAATTGCACGTAGTTTAAACCTAAGATTTTGAGTAAATTTGATAGCATTCATTTGTTGTTCATTCATTTGATAGCATCCCAGAGTAGCTTCTATTGGATTAACAATCATTTGATCGTGTTCATGTAGCTTCTATTAGATTAACAATCATTCATTTGTTGTTCATTCTAATATTGCGTGCTGGCCCCTGTTAGCCATTTTCATCATGGCTTTTTTTTTTTTGTGATTATTGGCAATTCTTCCTTGCAACAAGAAAAATAGAAAGCTCAAGGTACTGATGGATCATTAGCTGTAACTGTAAACCCCAAAGGTCAATCATCTTCTCTTTAAGAGATTGAAGAATCAAAGCCTAAGAAGGCTAGAACTTTGACGTCTGATGTTTGGAAATATTTTAGTAGAGTTGAGATTGATGGGGTAATGAAGGTAAAGTGTAATGGTTGTGATGGTTTATATGCATCGGGTGGGGCTAAAGGCACTTCACATTTAAATCGTCATATCAAGTATTGTAAAGGTCTAGACAAATTTCATGATGTTGGGGTGATGATGATGGACAATGAAGGCAATATTAGGTCTAGAAAACTTGATCATTATTGTGTTAGTGAGGTTATGACTATGGCCATAATTGAACATGGTCTTCCTTATTCATTTGTTGAATATAGATGGATTAGAGAACTACTTAGGATGTTGAATCCTGATGTGAGGCTCATGACTAGAAAAACAATTATTGCTGATATTATGAAGTTCTTCCGCCATCAAAAGGACAATTTGAAAGAAAAATTAAAGAAAAGTATAAGCATAATATGTTTGACTTCTGATTATTGGACTTTTGTGACATATGTTTGACAGCTCATTTTGTCAATGAAAAGTGGATTCTAAATAGTAAGATGCTTTCATTTTGTAAGATAGAGACTCTGCATTCTGGAGTACAATTGTCTAAAATGGTGTATGATTGCTTGAAAGAATGGGGGATTGAGAATAAAGTATTTTCAATTACTTTAGATAATCCATCTGCAAATGATAATATGCAAGACTTGTTGAATGAGAAATTACTTTTGTAAGAAAACATTAGCTTGATCTGTAATAGTGAATTTTTTCATATAAGATGCTGTGCCCACATCCTTAACTTGATAGTTCAAGAAGGTTTAAAAGTAACAAATACTGCTTTGTGGAAGATTCGAGAGAGCATTAAATGGTTGAAGGCTTCTGAGGCAAGGATGATTCAATTCAAGCAATCTGTTGAGCAAGTTGGTGGCATTGACACTTCTATGAGCTTGTGATTAGATGTACCCACTAGATGGAACTCTGCTTATGCAATGCCTGAGAGTTGAGAGGCACTTAAATATCATCGAGCTTTTACAAACTTTGCTATATCTAATTCAAAGTACCTAATATGTTATAATCTGACAAACGATGAGTGGAATAAAACAAAGGCAATGTGTAACTTCTTGAGGCCTTTTGAAAAGATAACAAGGTTAATTTCTGGGTCATCTTATCCAACTGCCAACTCTCACTTCATGCAAGTATCAAAAATTGAAATGTTGCTTGATACAAATGTGAAGAGCATTAATGACGTGATTAGGGAGATGTTAGGAAGAATGAAAGAAAAGTTTGACAAGTATTGGCAAAACTATAATGTCCTTCTTGCACTTGCTGTGATTTTTGATCCAAGATGGAAGTTGAATATCATCAAATATTGTTATGCAAAGATTGATCATGTCACTTCTTTTGAGAAGATTACTATTGTCAAGAGCAAGTTAAATGCTATTTTTAAAGAATACTCAACTATGGGGACATCAATCACATCATCTGTTAGACATGGAGTTGCAATTATTTCAACTTCTAAATCTCCAACATTTATGACTCATCATTCTTCTCACACTTCAAGTTTTTCAACAACAACCTCTTTTGATGATCAATTCGATGTATGTTTTATTTTGTCAATGTTTTATCTTATCAATTAATTTGTTGTTTATTTAGCTTTTTACTTATGCTTGATTCAATTTTTAAATGATGCAGGATTATCAAGATATTTATGTGATCATGGATCATTCTTCTATGGACAAGTCTGAATTGGAAACTTACTTAGAAGAACCAATACTGAAGCCTGATAATTGGAAAGATTTGGATGTCTTAAACCTGTGAAAAAACAATCAACTTTGGTTTCCAATTCTTTTGAAGATGGTAGTTGATATTTTGAGTATTCCGATCACAACAGTTGCTAGTGAATCAACTTTTAGTATTGGTTCATGTGTTTTCACAAAGTATAGTAGTTCCATTCTTCTTGCTAATCTTCAGGCTCTTATATGTACTCGCAACTGCTTGCATGGATTTGCATATCAAGGTACACTACAAAAAAATAGCTGATTAGTGACGGAAACAAATTCTGTCGCTAATTTCTGACGGAAATTCCATCGCTAATTTTTTCGATGTATTAGCGATGCAATTTTTTTTCCGCTAATATTAGTGACGTATTAGCGACGGAATTTCTGTTCGTCGCTAAATTCCGTCGCTAATCCATCAGTAAATATTTAGTCATGGAATTAGCGACGAAATGTTTTCTGTCAGAAATTTTCGTCGCTAGATTGTTTGTCACAGAAATTTTTGTCACTAATTCCGTCGCTAATTATATTCCGTCGCAATTCCGTTGCTAATCCATCACTAATTTTAAATTTTTTTATTTTAATTATAATCTTACAAGAATTATAATAATAATTAATCAGAACATATTCATAAAACAAATATTTAAAAATTATTTTTTCATTAAAATAGTTATGATTAAAATCATCATATAGTATATTTTTAGTTTTTAATAATGTACATATGTATATATAATTGTTTATGTAAAATGATGATGAAGAAATCATTGATAT